CCCCCTCCCTGTTTGGGGTGCCACGGACGACCCCAACAGAGCCTGCAATGGAGATGGCGCCATGCTTTCTCAAACGATGATCGCGGTGAGAGAATGTTGGAACGCAGTGCTCACGGAGGCGCAGGCCTTCATGGATAAACGGGCCCAGCCCGAAGAATTTACGCTGGCCATTGTGGGGTTCGTGCACAGCACGCAGCCCTTACTGCGATAGCTCATAGATCATGATTTGTGCGCCCTACTTGAGCAGCAGAGTGAAGGGATCAATTTAAGCATAGATGCCAAACTCCCACGCTCTGAGTGGACCAAAGTTAAGCGCTTGCTCATGCTAGGAGGCAAAAGATCCAAGAATCAGGCTTTCCTTCCGCTCAGAAAGGCACCAGATGGCACCATTCTTACTACGCTGGAAGCGCAGGCTGACGGTATCCAGCGCCATTTTGGCGAGATTGAGTTCGGCTTGGATGCTCAGCCAAGTGACATTGCTGCAGCCTACAACTCGGCGACGCCAGCCCCGCCGACTACCACCACCAGAGAGGTCAAGAGACTCATCACCAAGGGAGCTCTGCAAAGGGCCCTGACCAAGGTACCTGCTGGCAAAGCCACGCCTGACAATGTCGCGGGGGATCTCCAGCGGGTTGTGCCAAAAGCTCTGGCGAGGGTCTGACACCCAGTGCTGTTTAAAGCCAACCTGATCGGCACCGAGCCATTGGGGTTCAAGCAGGGAGTTGTCGTGGGTATCCCCGAAGGCCCAGATGGGCCCTATGCTTCGAGCAGAAGGAACATACTGCTCACCTCGACTATCAGTAAAGTTTATCACAAACACATCCGCGCGCAGGTCCAGGCGGTCATGGCCATCTCACTGGAAGCATCCCAGTGTGGAGGCAGACTAGGCATGGGGACGGATTTTGCTACTCACTTCATAACGGCTAAGCTGCACATGCACATGGGCGCAGGCAAGAGCAGCATAGCGCTTTTTGCATACTTAAAGGCCGCCTTTTACACTGTGATCAGGCAAAGTCTTTGCAATGTGCCTGCCGAGAGAGAGGATTTTGAACTCGCGCTTAACAGCTTGCCTGTCCATCCTGCACTAATGCATGCGGTGCAGCATCTTGCCCAGACGCCTATCTTAGAGCAGTACTCCACCAGTGAACATATCAATGCACTTTTTTTCGGCGGCCCTATCCTCGGGATTTTGGGCGCGTAGGAACGCCGAAGGGTTTAAGAAACCCATGCTGGGAACCAAACCTGGGACGGTCCTAGCGACCGACGCTTTCAATTACGTTTTTTCCCCGATGATTCGGGACCTCCAGGCCAGGCTTAATGAAGAAGGGCTCACGTGGAAGCCAGATTTGGAGCCAGGGGCCGTTAGGTTTGCGCAGGAAACGGATTTAGACCGTGCCCATGATACCATCTCTTTCGTTGATGATCTCACTGTACTCTGCGCCATCGACCAGGCGGCTGATACACGAGCTGCGCTTGTGAAGGCCACCGAACATTTGGCAGAAGTGACATTTGACAGTGGATTGCGGCTCAATCTAAGTAAGACCGCGGCGCTTATCATTCCTGTGGGACCAGGCACCAAAAAGGCTCAGCCGGAGTTTTGGGGACCCCAGGGCCGAGAAGTGTACATCCCCTCCCTTGGAGCGTCTGTTCAAGTGAAGCGAAGTGTCAAGGCCCTGGGTACCATGGTCAACGATCGTCTCGACATGTCGGATGAGATAGCCTACAGGATAGCCTCGGTGGCCAGCGAGGTGCGGCCAATTCAGCGCACCCTTGGGCCTCGGAAGAAGCTCAGGCTTGATCTGAAAGTCAGATATGCGGAAAGTTTCGCTCTCACGGGCCTTTTTTGCAATGCCTCCATCTGGGGTCAGCTCAGCACACGACTCGCCAAAAAACTTCTCAATGCTCAGATAAGGCCCTACAGGGCCGCCCTGGGACTGTCGATCAGCAATTCCGACGTAGGACACATTGCACACAAGGACATTTTGTCACAAGTGCACAGGATGGAGGCCAAAGATGTGCTGCGGGTGGCGCGCCTCAGGTACTTGCCCAGGCTGCTGCGTCAAGCACCGCCAGCACTCAGAGTTGCCATCGAGTTTCTTTTCCAAGAAAACAGCGGCTGGCTAGTGCAAGTGGCAGATGATCTCAGATGGATGACTCCGCTTTGCCTCAAAGGGGAGCTGCGGCACCAGGCGCCCTTGCTGTGCTGGCTCGCGGAGGCCAGGACGGAGCCGCGCACATTCATTCGACGAGTGGCCAAAGCGGCCGCCAGAGCGCAGCATAAATTTTAAGAGGATTATCGAGCGATGCAGCTTGACAGGCACATCCAGCTCATCCAGAATGAGAGGCCCACTGCTAACGAAGTTCCAGAAAGCACTATCACCATGTATGCGCGCTACGAATGCGGCTTCGCGACAGAGCAGATCAGGACTTATAACATGCACATGGCTAGGCAACATAAAAAAACATGAGGGATCCGATGTGCTGGGCCGCGGGCACGGAGTGCCAGTGCTGCAGGAAACAATGGCATACCCCGAACCACCTTCAGGTGCATTTAAGAAGGTCCCACAAATGCAGATTGGCATGGGACCAGGCCGGATACAAGGCTGGGGAGGAGGAGATGCAAGTCTGGAGGGATGCTGGGAGAGAGGTGCAGAAGAAGAATCGCAGCAAAGGTGAGAGTGATAATTGGGCGGAGTTCCCCCCCGCGCAGCTCTTTGGACCCTCGTTTTGTGTAGAGGCTCACTTGGGGCCTCTGGAACCTCCCTGCCTCCCTCCCGCCGTGTGCGTCCCCATCCCTAAACCTCGGCATGAGCCAAGCCCCGCTGACCCAGGACCGAGCAAGGAAGGGTTGGAGCCAAGGTCTATCTTCTTGTGCCTGTACACGGGAAACAGGCACGACGGTGACTGTATTGAGTCACTTGAACGTGAATTGGCGAACAATGGAAAAAGGGCCAGCATTCTCACCTCAGGGGATCAGGAAGGGTGGGGACAGCTTGCGCTGCCACACGTGCTACGCTTTTGGACTCAGCTCATCCAGGGCGGCTTCGTTGGGGGGCTTTGGGCTGAGCCCCCCAGAGGTACCTGGCAGGCTGAGGGGGCACGCACTCGTTTGCCGCGGGACCCCAGCTCTCCTTGGGGAAGGAGAGCCCTCCGTGAAGTAGAGTCCACTCCCGTACGGGAGGATAATCGTGCTCTTAGGGCGGTGCTCTGGTTGACGCACGCCTGTCGGGGCGCGCAAGTACCATTTGGCATCGCGCATGTCCCGTGGGCCAACGAAGCCTCGCAACCCACCATTTGGGGACTTAAAGAGGTGAGCATGCTTGAGGGATGTAGAGTGGATTGCGAAGGGAGTAGCATTCTATTGTCCGGTGTGCAGGCTTTCGTCCCTCTCGTGTCCACTCTCCCGCCTCTTGCTTGCGTGGCCCTGGAATTCGCCGCTCTCATCCAATCATCCAATCGCCGTGACCTTGCCCCCGAGCTCACTGAGCTGGAGCTCAAGCTGGACCCTTATGGTTTGGAACCTCTGGGGGATGAGGGTGATGAGGGGAACGTCCTGCCAGCTTAGGTGTGGTGCGGCCAGTTTTTTAATCCCCGTTGCTGCCTCTGCTTGCTGCCCTCTCTCCACTTAATCCACTGTGATAGGCTGCGTGACTCAGAGGCCTTCATCGACCGACCGACCGACCGAGGAGGACGAGGAGGAGGAGGAGGAGGAGGAGGAGGAGGAGGAGGAGGAGGAGGAAAGGGTGGAGGGGAGGAGGAGGAGGGGATGAGGAGGAGGGGGGGAGGCGAGAGGGAGGGGGGGAGGAGTGAGGGGGGAGGGGGGGGGGGGGGGGGGGGGGGGGGGGGGGGGGGGGGGGGGGGGGGAAGGGGAGGGGGGGAGGAGGAGGAGGGAGGAGGAGGAGGAGGAGGAGGAGGAGGAGGAGGAGGAGGGGGAAGGAGGAGGAGGAGGAGGAGGAGGAGGAGAAGGGGGAGGAGGGGGAGGAGGGGAGGGGGAGAGGAGGAGGAGGAGGAGGAGGAGGGAGGGAGGGAGGGAGGGAAGGGAAGGGAGGGAGGGGGAGGGTGGGGAGGCGGGGGGGAGGGAGGGGGGGGGGGGGGGAGGGGGGGGGAGGAGGAGGATGAGAGGAGGAGGAGGAGAGGAATAGGAGGAGGGAGGAGGAGGAGGAGGAAGAGGAGGAGGAGGAGGATGGGGAGGAGGCGAGGAGGAGGGAGGGAGGAGGGAGGGAGGGAGGGTGGGGGGGATGGAGGGAGGGGGGGAGGGAGGGGGGGGAGGGGCGAGGAGGGAAGAGGAGGGCGGAGGAGGGGGGAGGAGATGAGGAGGAGGAGGGGGGAGGAGGTGGAGGAGGGGAGGGGGAGGGGGTGGGGGGAGGAGGATGAGGAGGAGGAGAGGAGGAGGAGGAGGAGGAGGAGGAAGGAGGGGAAGGAGGGATGAGGATGAGGATGAGGAGGGGGGACTTAGACTTAGACATCCTTGGCGAAGCAAGCAGCGCTATCCGACGAGTCCTTGATCGCTGGGCGGCATTGCCTGTGTTCAGGCTGCAATTCTTTTCTGCGCTGGCCTGGTGGAGAAACACGCCCCCCACCCCCCCCCCCGCCCCCCCCCCCCTGCAGCCCTCTCGGGGAAGACGCGGGGCGCAAGGGTGGCGGCCCCTCCAGCCGAACGCAGAGGGGGAGCGGGCGACCCGCTGCCTTCTCCTGGCCAGGTGGGGCCCACACGGCATCCCCCCTGCCAGGGCAACGCAGGCGGGCGGCCCCTACCCCCTCCCGTTCTGAGTGGGGCGAGTTTGTCTCCTCCTACCTTTGCCCTTACCTTGCCCCCCTTTGGGGCGCGGTTGAATTTTCGCTAGCGGGATCAAGCGGCCACTGGAGTCCTCCAGATTCTGCTCGGAGAGAGAAGGTAGAAGAGACGAGGACAGACCCCCTACTCAAGAAGCCTCCGGAAACCAGACTCTGTAGTCTGGCGGAGTTGGCGAGAGCCGTCATCCTTCTCAGTTCCTGGTCCCCTACACGTCCTCGAGCTTGTTCAACCGCGCTCTGGCGCCCCTCTCCAAGACACCCCTCGGCGCCGCTCCAATCGTGATCTCTCCGCCCTGGCGCGCGACTTCGCCCCTGAGGATCGTGCCCAGGCCCTGCGCCACCTTGTTGGTTGATAGCGCCCATTGGAGACGCGCCTTGCCCTCCATGCGCTTGGATTTCTTCCCCGTCTCCTTGCCCTGCGGGGCGCGCGCCCTGAAGTACCTCGCACCCTCGGCCGCCTCGAACATATCCTTCTTCACGATGTAGTCCTTCCAGTAGGTGGCGAGCGTGCTCCTCGCCAGGCCTTCCTCGGTGCTCGAGCAGGGCGCGGATGAAGTCCTTCCACGCGTGGATGCGCGGGCTCTCCAACTGCGCCGTGTCCACCGCCTCGTCTTCTTTGTGGTCGCCCCTCAGCTTCGTCGCCGCCTTTTGGTAATCCTTGCCCGCCTGCGCGGCTGCGGCCGCGGCTGGCATCGCGAGCGGCGCGCGCGCCGTCGCGAACACCGCACTGATCACCGACCTTAGGTCGCCTGCCATGCTGAGCACCAACTTGCTGAGCAGAAGGACGAGTTGCTGCGCGACTTGCGCCTTGGAGGCGCCTTTGCCCGCCGGGCCTTTGGCTGCTGCGACAAGCTCGTCTGCCTTGGCCTTCTCCGCGTCGACTGCTGCTTCTTGTGGCCCTGCCGATCGCCCGCCCCGTCGCGAGGCCCCACGCTGGCATTGCCCCCGCGCCTGCGTCTTTCATCCGCTCGGGCACGTCGGCGCCCGAGTCGGCCATAGCAGAGGTTCTTGCCCGCAGTAGCGGGCGCGCGATGTCAGGAAGAAAAGGCAGATGCCGCGCCAGATGAAGTCGAAGCTCGAGCCCGGATCGATCCAGCTACGTGTTCACAACCAGGGCAGTGTAGCGTTTTCGGCCCGTGTGCCGCGGCTAGGGCTCGAGCGAGATCGACGACGCAACGCCCTCGCTGAATAGACCGAGCGAGATGCCGACGAGCTGTAACTTCTGAAGCGAAGATGGTTTCGCAAACTATGCAAACGTTCGTGGGGTTGAAGAACAAGCACACGTTGACACTATTATGGACCTGGCATACGTGCGATCGAAGAGCAGGTTTCGAGAAGAACGTCCTCCCACAGCTCCTGCCGTCCACCGCCACCTCGCACTTGGAAATCCCCCCCCCCACCTCCCCTTCGATCTTCATATGTTCCTCCCCGTGCGTTTCTGTTGTCGTTTGGGGCGCACATGTTGGGGCGGAATGTTTGTTCGGAATTCCTTGGCTCTGAGAATGCTTACGTCGACGTTGCAAAAGTCTTCTCTGAAGTTCGGGTCGTTTAGCCAAGCGACGATGTGAGGGCCTGCGGTCTCCAGCAGGCTCTGTGCTTCTACTGAGCAGTTGATCAGCTGGTTGACGTCCTCCTGCGCGCGCTTGGCCCAGGGATTCGCCTGACTCGACAGCGCGCCGTCGTCAGAAACAGTCTGCAAGGCCTGGCCGCTGATCGTGCCGAACATTGCCGCGGATAACTGGGCATTGCCGTTCCTGTCCTTGGCCGCTTGCTGCGGCCACTTGAGCCGCCTGACTCGAAGTGCCACTTCAGCTCTTGCAATCTTCCAGTAGGCGAGGACTTCGGCGTTGGTCAGCGATCGGACCGTGCCGTCCTCATTCCAGGTGCAGGCTCTTCCCCTCAGAGCAACCCGCGCCAGCGATGCTATAGCTGCGTCGAGGGTGCCGCACTGGCGCTCGGTCGGCAGGAAGGCTTCAACTGAAGAGAAGGCGGAGTTATCAACCCGCCCCAGCAGCACAGTCCTCTTCCATCTCCATGGGATACGCGGTGCACTCCAGAAAGAGCCCATCGAGTAGAAGGCCGCCTTGGCAGCCTGCACCCTCTTCGCCAGCTCAATTCCGAAACTCTGAATACTGGTGATAATCGGGCCCAGATATCTCGCTTGATCCACGAGTTGCCCTGGCCACTTTTGTCGTTGTTCCCGTAGCCGAAGATCGCGCCTGGCAATGCCACTGCCCAGTCCGCGACAGGCCATCAGGTTAACCTGATTGCCGGTGTTCTGCGCAAGACCTATGTTGGACAGGTTGTCGCTCAAGATCTTGTCGCAGTAGAGCAGCTTATGCCTGAGCTTGTCCAGGCTGACGTTCTCCTTCTCGGCGGGCGGGCGCTGCAATATCTTCGCGTTGATGTCGTCGGCGTAGATGTGTAGACTCATGTCCGCGATGAGGTTGGTGATCGGGCACTTGACCTTTAGCTTTTTGTCTGCGTCGTCTTCCGCCTGCCACTGCAACGACCAGGGCTCGATAGCGTATGCAGAGGCGCGGGGGGAGCAATTCACTATGAAAGGGTCCCCCATGAGGCCCCCCTCTGTCGGTCTGAATTGAAGTAAACCTTCAGCGGCTGGTAGAAACACCTGCGCTCGTCGAATGCGTTGAAGTGCGAGGCGTAGTCGCGATCTCTCACCAGCGACTCGGCTGCCAGCTCCATGCGCTTCCAGCTCACCGAGGGGAAGGCGTTGGTCATGTCCTTGAGGCTGTCCACGTAGGAGCACTGCAGCTGCCTCAGGGTGTAGGCCGTGGTCATCGAGGCCATGATCGCCGTTTCTCGTCTTCTGCCCTGTGCGCATCCGCGATGCTCTGGCGGCAGCTGCCCAGGTTGACGAGCTCGAATACAAGAGGCGAAAAAAAAAGCCTTTGCACAAAAACTCGGAGAATGTGTCGGAGGCGTCTCCCTCGAGGTCCAGGTAGTTCTGATTTCTTGGCTGCGTAGCATTCGCTGACGTGCCAGTTGCTCGGCGTGATCTGGTGGCACCTTAAATTGTAGAACGCCAAGTGCAAGCAGGCCTCTATGTGGCTGTTGTCAGTGTCGTCCAGGTCGTAGCCCACGCCCTTCAGCTTCTGGTCGCGCTGCGGGTTCAAGGCCATCCAGTTCAGCTCTGCGGGCGGTGATTGTGCTGGTCACGCTTTTCTCTTTGGGGTCGTCCAGAGGTACCTCTTCAGCCTTTTGAGGTCGCGTTTGCTTTCTAGGAAAGTTCTGGTAGCGTGCTCGTTGTTGAACTCAGGTAACTGGTCTGGATCGTCGGCCATGTGATCCCATGGGTCTGGTATACGAGGCAATTCATCGGGGACTTCTTCACATTCGAGCTCTTCCTGCTGGCGTGGGTGGCCTGTAATCTCCACTGCGCTCATTCCTCCTTCTTTGCCTGCTTTGCAGAGCGCTTGCATCCACTCGTCCTTCGTCGGATTCGCCAACGGAAGAGCTCGAAGGTCGCGTCTCTTCGTCCCCGTTCTCGCGTTGCCTAGTCTAATAGTAGCCCTGTATGCCTGAGCAAATCTTCTAGCTTCCCAATGCTCGCTTATCTCTTCAGCAATTGCTTCTCTGGTTTGTTGGCGCACTTCAGCTCGTACTCTTCCGCGCCGTCTCGAAATGGCCTTCCGAAGTTGTTCGACCTGGCTTTCTGTGGCGTCAGTGGCCCAAGTAGCTTCGCGTAGATCTCGTCTCTGCTGCAGCGCTGCCAGCCGTGCTTGTCTTAGCCGCCTATACTGCTCATCAACAAAATGTGGTTGTAAGAAAAATTCGTTGCCCGCGTTGACCATGTTCTGCTCCAGGCACGCGAAGATCGCATCAGGGGTCCTCTGCATTCCGCGTTGCACCCAGCGGGGCATGTCGTCCTGCGGCGCCTTGTCGAGCTTGGTGAGGTAGTCGTGTCTGAGGTCTCCGCGTCGAAGGGCGCACACTAATGAATCAAGGTTCGGAGGAGGAGGAGGAGGAGGGAGGGAGGGAGGGAGGGAGGGAGGGGGGGGGGGAGGAGGAGGGAGGAGGAGGAGGAGGAGGAGGGTGTTAGGTCGTGGATAGGATTGCCGGCCCCCCGGCGAAATGCAGTTAGAAGGGAATTTTGAATGAAGAGATAGAGCAGGGGCGGCTGCTTGCCCGCTGACATCCCCGGGCTCAAGCTTGAAAAGTCGAGTTTGGTAGCGGGGCCTGGTTCATTCCAGGCCCCATCCGCTGTCGCCTGTCCAGCGAGAGGCAGCGCGCGCTGATAGCGGCGCGGACGCGCCCGCCTCAGGGGCGGCAACATCATCACGGTCAACAATAGAACGATCACTACGAAAAGCATAGCATCGGCGACCAGCTCGCCGCGGACGACAACATCTACCAGCAGTTTCAGGACTACGTCGACATGTCAGAGCACACCGGTCCCCCACTGGATGCATACACAAAGGGCACACCGCCCAGATGGAGACCGGCACTCATGCATTACCCGTTCAGAAGATATCTGGAGCGTCTTCGGCCATGGTATCGCATGACAGACTTGAATGCAAATCAGGTTGGCCCTGCCGTGGCAGGCAGGCTCCAGGGCAGACCCTATAATATGGCTCTCGGGTTGCAGGTCGCCACGCAGGCCGGCGCCAATCTTCAGGGAGGCGCCGCACTCGCATACCCTGGCGAACCTCAGCAGCTCGACGGACAAGGCAACACCCTCGTGGCAGCGACCGAGAGCGGCATTCAAGTTCTGATCAGAATACTGTCTCGTCGATACGGTGCAGACAATCAGCAGATGGCCACCGGCACGATTGACCAGTTCTATGACCTGAGACGTGGAAGGCTTTCTCTCTTAGAATACATGGCGGAGTTCGAGCACACCTATGGGGGAGCTAATCGTCTCGGGAATCTCAATCTGAACAACGTGGCTCTCCGCCATCATCTTCTCAAGCACTCGGGCATCGAGAAGTCAAAGTTGGACCACATCTTGCTCCTTGTGAATGGAGATCTCGATCGCCACGAGGATATCAAGGACCACCTCATGCGCTTGGCCAAGAGTCAGACACCAGCTCAGATCCCTGGCATTGGCGGCTACATGGCAGATTCTTATGACGACAATGACCAGTATGACGACGGCTGGTACGACGACGAATGGCAAGAATATTCACGGTGCGATGATTCGTGGAGCAGCGACACCTGGCACGGCGATCACTACTCTGATGACGGCTGGCAGGACGACTCTTGGCACGAGGAAGGCTGGGACTACGACGATCGACACGGCACCGGCGAATCCCACGCAGAAGGCTCAGCCTCCGCCTCGCCACCAGCCGCATCACCAGGCACCGTTCAGGACCTCGAGACCCTGTCTTCTGACGTCAACTTCGGCAAGAACCGCAAAGGCAAGTCTTGTGGCCGCAGCAAGGGCAAGACATCCAGCAAGGGCAAGAGCAAGGCAAGGGCGGCGGCGGCCGCTCCAACAGAACTGGTCGCGGCAGATGTGGCAGCCCCAATCGCAACACAGCGGACTGCCCGTGGAGCCAGGGCAAGAGCAAGGGTAAGTCATCTAGCAAAGGCAAGAATGGCCGCTCAAGTTCACGACCAAAATGCAGTAAAGGACGTTCTAGCGGCAAGGGCTACTACACCGCAGATGATCCCTGGCATTCTGGAGCAGATCCTTGGTCAACAGGGCTCTCAGGTGGAGTTCCGCACTCGGGTATTCTTGTTTCAGGAACAGCCAGTGGTCAGGACAGCCCCTTCATACCCATCGGTTCCAGCTCTCAGGGCGCGTCTTCGGTGGCGCCTGCACGAGCCGAACAAGCCTTTGCCGCTGAGGTAGATGACTTACTCAAGGACCTGGCCCCGCTATGGAGCCCAGACGACTGGCAGTCCGACATAGGCACCATCGAGACAGACGGCATCACGGCAGCCTCTTCAGCCTCTGGACAGCCGGCGCCGCCCTCGGCTCCATCGCCTTCAGTGGCGGAGTCGCCAGCATCACAGCTATTGGACATCGACTCGATCGTGCGCGACATCGGCCCTGCGACGGATAACCCAGCATCCAGCAATATCAAGAATACTGGACCTCCTCCTCCGGGCCGCAGGAACAAACAAGCCGACGAAGACCTACGACGCACTCTCGACGTGTTCAGTGCTCCTCCGAAGATATCACTTGCCCCAGCATCATCATCAGAGCAAGCGTCTCAGAAGTCGCCCCTGCCACCGCTCTTCTCCACAGATCCTGGGTACTCGCCGTGGGCCTCAGCCAGCCCTCGTGATCATCAAGGGTGCCCACGACTTCGTCTACCACCCACTCCTGGACCTCGCCAAGATCTCACAGATTTCGGTGACCTGGAAAAGACCCTTCGTACTCCCGGTGAAGTTATTCCCGACCTTCCAGCTCGCATGGCAGATGGTAGCCAGGACGGAAAAACACAGGAGGAAGACGACGAGGACCAGGACTTCGGCGACTACGATGAGGACGAAGAATACATCCAGCCTGACGACAAGGCCTCGACACCAACATTCCCTCAGGGCAACAGTTTCAACTTTCACGCCGTCAAGGGCCAAGGGGTCTGGGGCATGATCTTCGATCCTGGCGCCGCCGAGGAGCTTGCTGGCACGCAGACATTACTGGAGTATGCGCGAGAGGTTGTCTGGCCAAACGGATTGGATTTTAGGTCGATACCGCCAAAACGCCAAAAGGAAATACATCGTTCTTGGGCATCGACGGAGTTCCTATGGGGGGTCAGATGACAGCACGAGTTCCTGTCGACCTAGGCCCCGTCATCACTAGCATCGAGACGGCGACTATCGGAGGCAGCGGTGACAGATGCCCGTTTCTTTTCTCCAACAAGACATCGATCAGGCGGAAGGTCACTGCCATGTTTGGCTACTTCGACAATCACGACGGCCTGCTCATCATTCCAGATCTTGATGGGCAGACTTATGGTTTGCGTATGTTGTTGACAGACTCTGGGCACTACCTGGCTCCGATAGATCACGGGTTTCAGAACAAGGAGCAGACCACCCAGACCTTCGTTGAGCAAGCGGCAGCAGGCCTGGTGGCATCCCGAGCTGTCCTGTCAACAATCGGCAATCCTCAATCTCATGCTGCCGGAACGCTGTTCATGACAATGAATACCAGCCATCGCGAAGACGTTGCGGTACCAGTGTTAGCATCAGATAAGAAGATGGATATCGAACCACCACCAGGACTTTCGCCTGATGGCGATGAAAAGGAAGTACGTTTCAGCGACGACGTCGAGCTTCATGAGTTTAATGATGACGATGAGGATATCTTACCAGAAGAGCGGTTGTACGACATCGGTCAGTGCGAAGTGCGCGGACACATCGAGAACGAGCTTAGTGTCATGCCTTGCGTTCGCTGTCATGTCCCTGTCTGCGCACGGCGTCGCAGTGAACACTCAGCCAGAGCTTCAGGATGTGGTCGACGACGGCGACGTGTTTCACAGCAACCCGTCTCTCAATACCACGGACGCCTTCATCAAGAGTCTAGAGCTCGACGGTGGCATGCTGCACGGCTGGACCGACCGCTACTACACCAACGACTACATACCTCCTGACTGTCATGACCCCACTCGCCTCAAGAAGCTCTACGCCTCGGTCAAGGAAGAATTCTACACTCGGACGCACTATCATCTGGTAACTCCTGACAACTTCTGGGAGTTCATGTATGTGCACAAGAGGTGGATGAAGCTTACCAGGAGACGCATCATCTGGGAACTTCAGGAGCAGTGGTCTGGAAGCTCTCGCACATCAAGCCTGGCCATGCGACGTCTCCACGTTGGTTTTCCCGTCGACTACCGTTATGGCTGGAATCTGAATAAGGCATC